AGAGAAAAGAAAGGAACTCAAACAGAAAGTAAAACCAAAAGGAACAATCCCCACACTTTATTATCATAACAATCATATGTAAAAAGAAACATTTCAATCAGTCTCTGCGAAACAATTCTATCAGAACACACAAAAGACCAATTGCATGTCAAGCAACAGCTGCATTCTTTTATGTTTATTTTAAAGACTCAAATCAAAGACCAAAAACCCACAAACATAAACACAAACACAAACTAGTATCCATATTTGTTATTAAGATACTCTTTATTCAAGCTTTCCCTTCCTTCCTTGCTCCATCAAGTGTCCTTGTCAAATTCCCTATTTCACAAATTTCCAAAATTTCGTCGGCAGCTGGGGCCACGCTCGGCGCCCCCACCATTCTGAATTAATATAAAACCAATTTGTTTTTCCAAAATTAGTCGAACCACTATGTCAAATTGTCAATTAACTTAAGCATTATTATTATAGGTTAAAAGCTTCAAATTCGTATATTCCGACTTAATAGATTCACTAACAAGACTCGTGCGTACCTCAAAAGAACACGTGTGGTCAGTCCCCAACTTTCTTATCTTGAACATGCTCGATTGTCCAATGCGCGAATCCCTCACAAACCAATTGCACTCTGTACATACACACTTGACGTAGTACACGACTTCTCCACTTTGAACTGATATTTGTTTTCTATTGCATGCAGGCTTATAAATTCCTGTAATGCGGCTTTATTGGAGAATGAATGTCCCACAACAATGTTAGGATAATTTACATCCTCACTAGCATGGAACATTTCTGAATAAAGTTTATCTTCAACATATTTAGCCTCTTCAACCATTATATCGGCCACTTTATGCGCATATTCCATGAAATTCATCGAATTTTCTTCGTCAGGTAGAAAATCTTCCATTTTGATACATCTTAGAGGAGCTACATTGCACTCGTATGATATTTTATCTCGTTTGTCGATTAATGGCTCGACCACTACGCATATTGGGAATTTTGCATAGTCAGCTTCTCTTGACTTGAGCTCCGTATAGAATGCGAGGCTGTTGTCATCATATATAGACATAGGTGGATATCCTTCTTTCACTGCATACTTTAATTCCAGTCGATTTGTAGAAGACTTTAATTTGAGATTATCAAACACCAAATTGCAGAATTCACTGTAGGTGCAATTTTTGCTTACGTAGTTCACGTATCGAAATGAACTTTAGAACCGATTCATGAGTTTTGAACCCCCTGATAAAATGAAGAAAACGAATTATGATTTATTGATTGTTGATAATAGATTCATCGGTAATGGATCAATGGAAAAGGCAGGCGGGGCCGTATGCATAGAAAAAGTTTTGTTTCAAATTTTTCTATAATCAAGATATTCGATATTTTGATCAGTATCTTCATATATTAGTTGATAGAGCAGTATCTTGATCTGGTTACCCAAACTAGTAAGCTTGTCAATTACTATATAGTAGTTGATATATATACATGTACAAGAATAATTAAAAAAGAAAAAAGGAACTCAAACAGAAAGTAAAACCAAAAGAACAATCCTCACACACTTTATTATCATAAGTAAAAGACATAACAACACAATTAATATAACTGCTGCATTGTCAGCAAAACAATTCTCTTATGTTTATTTAACGACTCAAACCAAAGACCAAAAACACACAAACACACAAAAAAGCAATTGCATGTCAGCAACTGTTGCATTCTCTCATGTTTTTATTTTATTAAAAGACTCACACCAAAGTCCAAAAACACACAAACACACGCGAGAACAATTGCATGTCAGCAACCGTTGAATTCTCTTGTGTTTATTTTAAAAGACTCAAACCAAAAGACCGAAAAACACACAAAACACAAAACTATAACATATTTGTTATTCAAAATCCCGACCTCGCCTCCGAATCCTGCTCGCTCCCGAAATTTGTTGGCGTCCAGTCAGGCTGGGCCCACTGGTCAAATTGAGTGTGGGCCCAAACCGGGTCGAAATGACTCGGCCCACCCACATTGTCCCCCACCATTGCCGCCACCACATGGGCCGGCAGGCCTGTGTAGCTGTGGACTAAGCCGTCCATCTCATTGAAGCTGAACAACAAGTCCTCAGAAACAGGTGCAGCAGGCCCGTTAACAACGGGCAGTGGCGGCGCAATCGGCCCGTAACCCAGATTGTAGGAAGAAGGATTATCAATAACGGGCTCCACATTTTGGGCCTCGGGCCCGGTTTTTGACCCATTTTGGATCGACTCATTGGAAGCTGGCTCGGAGGCTGCCCTCCTAGCCACCTTAGGCATGGACCCAAAGCGCCTCAGCTTGCTCGGGCCCAAGTGGCCCGAGCCACCAAGTGGACCCGAGTTGGACTTCCTCTCCTCAGGGGAACGCCAGCTGGCGTTACGACATTTCTAGGTAAAAAAAAATGATGAAAAAAAAATTAGAGAGACAGACTTGTGTTTCGATTCTGNAAAAAAAAAAAAAAAAAACTTATCAGCGAACAGTGTGAAAAAAGACTAAACACCTGTAGGTGGCTCGCCACTTGCATTCGAGTAAGCCCGGACACGTTCATGAGATCGAGAATCTCCTTCGGGAAGCACCCTGTCAATAATATTAAAACACGCGCGCGCGCGAAAATTCAAAATTCGAGAAAATTTTACAACTAAATGATAAAAGTTAAAAACTTACTCCCTTCGCCAAGCACCTGGACCGCATCCACAAACTTGTCGTGGAGCTCTTGAGTCCACTCGGTGCAAACTTTCCTCTTAACATTGCCAACAAACGACGACTCGTAATCTTCCTCTTTAAGCCCAAAAACATTCCGACTATCAATCATATTCGATTCCTCGTTTAGGTTTCCGTGTGCCAGCTGGCCCGGGTCCCGATACTCCGCCAAACGCAACTTTTCCCTCAACACGCATTGCCAAAGGCAATCGGCCGATTCCTTTGTTATTGGTTGAGTCAGATAGAGGTACGCGCCATTCTCTAAGGCCTGAAGGACCAAGATTGCGTTGGGCTCGAATCCCATCACTAGAGAAAAGTCAAACAAGACGTGGGCGAATTAAGTTGACTATATAATGTGTATATATATATATATATATGTGCATTGTACAAGAGTTTTTTATATTTAGATTTTATATGAAATTTTTCGGAAACTTACGAATGATTGGTATGTCCATGGCGACGGCGTGCTGGAGGAGCCGAAAACTGTGGAGGTCCGGCGAGTTGATGTTGGCCAGAATGAGGTCGAATTTTGACTTTCCGGCAATTAGCATTTGGAGAGCGCCGGAGGCGAGGTCCACAAGGCTAACTGTTTGTTGATCACATATA